TCCATCCATCCATCCATCCATCCATCCATCCATCCATCCATCCATCCATCCATCCATCCATCCATCCATCCATCATGTTTAACTTCTCTGTTCAGGGCAATGTTCGAGGTGGATATGCGAGAACGTGATGATGGTTCAGTAACTCTGGGTAATCAGAGTCCAGTGGCTGTCAGTTCTTTCCTGGACTTTGCCTATTCTGGAGAGGCTCTCATCACTGATGGGAATGTGGACATGTTGTTCCAGATTTCTTCTTTTCTGCAGGTAGAGTTAAAGCCACCGCATGGCCTTTGTTCTTCTTGAACACATCAAATTTATTTTGCCAAGTTAATGACAAATGTGCAATACATACAGGATTCTTATTTGCATTAGATGWTAACACAGCATTTTCATCTTGCCACCATTTTAAAACGCGCAGACTAACAAAGTTCGCAATAACACATTTTCTGTCTCACACAGGTTCCGGTCCTGTCCAGAGCATGCAGTGACTTCTTGGTAGGAAGCATGCGTCTCTCGAACTGTCTTTCCTTGCTGTCGCTGGGAGAGGCGTATGGCTCAGCTTCCCTCCTTCATAGTGCCAACGAGTTTGTGGTTCAAAACTTCTATGACCTTTCCAGCACTCAGGAGTTCTTGGATATGCAGGTGATCAGGTGGCTTTTTACTTCCTTTAGTCGCCTCTCTCATCCTGACTGCATGTTGCATCAGTAGACTTTTTGCAGTCTACAAACATTTGGTTTATTTTTATATGACAGCCATTCAAAATGGTTGATTATAATGCTTAACTATTGTATAAACACATACTGTAAATCATTTCAGCATACATGCTGCCTTCTTCATAAATTGCCTCTGGAGCTCTAAAAAAAGATCTCTTTCATTTGGAATTACCCAGTCTCACTAACTCAAACTTTCCATTTCCCTGTGCTCCTATCAGGTAAATGTTTTAGAGGCCTGCCTAAAGTCAGATGTTCTGAATGTGCCCAGTGAGGAGGCAGTTTTATGGTCACTTCTTAGATGGATTCGCCACGATCTGCCTGGAAGACAGAAGCTGCTACCGGGACTGATGTCTCTGACCCGGCTGCACCACCTGCCTGCAGCTGCATTGAAGGTAGAAACCAACTCCAAGATGCTGGCTGAAAAATGGGAAAACAATACAAACAGTAATGTGGGTCTGGAGTGGTAAAACAACCCATTTTCTCCTCCAAAATACTGAAAAAGTGACGTACCTGTAAGTTCTCACCACATTATATTTAATGTACTATAAACATTTTTATTTACCATTATTTAACCAGGCAAGGCCCATTGAGATGTCTTTTTCAAGGGCAGCCTGGGCCTGAAGGCAACCTATTGTACATGTTTTTGGGGGTGGGGGAAACCGGAGTACCCGAAAACCCATGCAAGCACGAGGAGAACATGCAAACTCCACACAGAAATACCCCAGGTCCAAACCAGGGATCGAACCCAGGACCTTCTTGCTGTGAGGCATCAGTGCTAACCACTGAGCCATCGTGCCACCAATAAGATGTGTTGTGAATTTTTTTATTAACTATATTCATTTCTTTAAAAATAATATCAATTTATATACAATAAAAATACAAATCACAAATAAAAAGAAAAGCGGCAGAAAGAAGAAAAAAAATATTATAGTATCTGTGCCTTTTTCCTCCCAAAATTAATATTTTTAAACAATAATAATCTTTACATGTTTAGACAATTTATATACAATAAAAATACAAATCACAAATAAAATGAACGCCGGCAGAAAGAAGAAAAAAAATCTTATAGTATCTGCGCCTTTTTCTTCCCA